CCCGCCGCCCCGTCTCGCCCCGCCGGCGGCCAGGCCTCCCCCGTGTGTGGGGAGGGGGGGGGGGGCCACACGCAGCCACAACTACCGCCTCGCTTCCGCCCCCGGCCGGTTTACAGATCGTCGACCGTCAAGAACTCCTGACCGTCGGCACCACCAAAGTGCGACAGGTCCGTGGCGAAGGGGTTCCGCTGCAGGTCCCCGGGCACCTTGATGGCGGCGGCAGTGGCAGCAGCCTCATCGAAGGGCCTGCTGAGGGACCCGGACAGGGAGGCAGCCGAGGACGACCAGTCATGCACGCTGCTGACGCTGCCGCCACTGAGCAGCTGGCTGGCGCCGGCATCGACCGGGGAGGACATGCCGCCAAGGCCGAGCTCCGCCTTCGGGCCGCCACCACCACCACCACCGCCGCCGCCGTTGCTCGGAGCACCGGCCGCCGAGGAAGCGGCCGCGGGGGGGGTGGCCCCGGCGACGGCAGCAGGAGCGGGCGACACGGCAGCCCCCATGAAGAAGGGATTCGGCGCCCAGCCACCGGCGATCGGCAGCTCGACCGGGGCATTCTGCTGCTTCTCCCTTGCGGACAGGAGCGGCTGCTGGTCGCCGGCCGGGCGACGCGGGCCACCATGGCCGCCGCCGCCGCCGCCGCCGCCACCGCCGCCGGCCGCCGACGAGGTGGTCACGCTGCGCAGCAGCGACACCCGCGGCGAGGGGGCCGGCGTGCCGGACAGCGACTTGGACTTGGACGAGCCGACGACGCCGCCCGGTGCCACGGCCCGGAGGCCGCTGCCAGCGGCGGCGGGCCCACTCGGAGGGGGGGGCAGCGGCCGCAGCGCCGTGGCCGGCGACGATCCCACCGAGAAGGGGTGCTGCTGCTGCGGCGGCGCCATCGCCACAGCCACAGGCAGCCCCTCGGCCAGCGACGGCGACAGCGAGGACAAGGAGGACCCCGGGCCGCCTGTCACCACCACCTGCCGGAGCTCATGCGACTCGGGCATGCCGATCTCCGGCGTCGAGCGGAAGAGCCCGCGCCGGGTGGCCGGCGCGGCCACGCCGTCATCCTCGATGTCCAGGGCCGAGGCCCGCTCGGCCGACGAGGGGGCCGCCCAGCGCGAGGAGCTTGGCCCGGCCGCCAGCCGGTCAATCATCCGGCCCAGGGCATAGACCGGGGCAAAGAGCGCCGCCCGGGCCCGGACCACGAGACCCTGCGGCCGGACGGCGTCGCCCTCGGCCGCCGAGCCGACCGTCGGCCGGCGGTACCGCCGCAACGCCAGCGACGACAGGACCACCGACACCGACGACAGGGACATGGCCATGCTGGCCACGATCGGCGGCATCAGGATGCCCACCGGCACCAGCACACCGGCCGCAATCGGGATCACCACAATGTTGTAGATGGTGGCCCACACGAAGTTGTACTGAATCCGCCGGTAGGTCGACCGGCTCAGGTCGATGGCCGTCACCACGTCGAACAGGTCGTTGTTGATGAGGACAATGTCGGCTGGGGCCATGCGTGCCGCCGGAGCACGAGCGAGGCAGGGCCCAGGGAAGCAGGGGCACAGCGCGAGAGGGCGGGAAAGTCAGCAAGGCCATCCGAGAGGAGCCCCCGACTGCCGGGGGGGGGGCACGGAGGTGGTGATGGCGGATGGTGATAGCACTGATGACGAGTCGCGGGAGACAGAGAGGGAGAAAGGGGGCATCGAGGAGAGAATGCCGAAAAGCTGGCTGGCTGGCTGGCCGGCTGGCTGGCTGGCTGGCTGGCTGGCTGGCTGGCTGGCTGGCTGGCTGGCTGGCTGGCTAACAAACAAACAAACAGACAGACAGACAAGCAGACAGACGGAAAAACAGAAAAAAAAAACAGAAAAAAACACAGAAAACCAGACGTACCAGCCTCCACAGCCACGTCGGTCCCCGCGCCAAGGGCAATGCCCACATCGGCTTGGGCCAGGGACGGCGAGTCATTGATCCCGTCGCCGACCATGGCCACCACGCGCATGGCCGTCTCGGGGGAGCTGCGCGACACGCCAGACCGCCGGGGCCCGCCGGACTGCTGGCCGGCCTCCAGATCGAGGCCGGCAGGGTCGGCGATGGCCGCATCCGGGCCCAGGAAGTCCCGGATGACCGACGACGGGCCCAGATGCCCCGGGTCCCGGGCGTTCAGCGCCCCGATCCCCTGCAGCAGGCGGATGTAATCGATCTTCCCCTCGGGCCGGGCCTCGGAGCAGATGTGCGACGCGTCGACGCCCACCTGCCGGGCGATGGCCGCCGCCGTGGACCGCTGATCGCCGGTCAGCATGTGCACCTGGATGCCCATGGCCTTCAGCCGGAGGATGGCCTCGCGCGAGTGGGCCTTCGGCCGATCCGACAGCCCGACAAACCCGGCCAGCCGGCCGGCCGCCGCCGCGTAGATCACCGTCTGGCCCTCCTGCTCGAGGAAGCGCGCCTCGTCGATGGCCAGCCGATCGGAGTCGGTCAGCCGCGCGGGGCCGCCCCCGCCGCCGGGCGGGGCGCCAGCCTCCGGCTCCGCCGCCTCCGGCTCCTCCTCCTCCTCCGCGCCATCCTCCGCGTCACCGCACACGAAGCGCCGGTTCCCGACGCGCACCGCGACCGACGGGCCACCACGCGACGGCACCAGTGTCGCGACAATGCCACTACCGACCACCACATCAAAGGAGTCCACCGTGAAGGCCGCCAACGCTTCCTTCGACAGATTCTACAGCCGGATGAGCGCACGCGCCCAAAGGCCATGAGCCGGGGGGGGGGGGGGGGGAGGGGAGGAGGCGCGGTGTGTGAGAGAGACGCGCCAAACGGGGGGTGGCTGCACTCAGAGAGAGAGAGAGAGAGAGAGAGAGGGGCACCGCCAAAGAAAGGGGGGGTGGAAAGGCAAAGGGAAGAGGGAGGGAGGCTCACGCACCTGCTGCGCGAAGTGAACCAGCGATTGGGCCAGCGGGTGCTCGGAGTTGGCCTCGGCCGCGGCCAGCAACGACCAGAAGGTCTGCTCCGCCGGGGTCAGGGCCCCGGGGTTGGCGGCGCCCGACCGGGCCGGCGCCGCGGCCAGGCTGGCCCGGCTGCCGGCCGGTGTGGAGGCGGCGGTCGAGCCCGATGCCCGGCCCCCCCCGGTGCTGCTGGAGGTCGCCGGCCGGACCAGCGACAGCTGCGGCCCGGAGAGCAGGGCCCCGGGCCGGGCGTCTGTCATGACCCGGTATGCCGAGATGGTCAGCTTTCCCTGGGTGATGGTGCCGGTCTTGTCGAAGACCACGTCGGTGATTCGGTGGCCAAGCTCCAGCGGCTGGCCGCCCTTGATCAGGACCCCGAGCCCGGCCCCGACGCCGGTGCCCACCATGACGGCGGTTGGCGTGGCGAGCCCCAGGGCGCAGGGGCACGACACAACGATCACGGTGATGCTGCGTGCGCGCGAGGTCGCCCCAGAGCGGGCAAAAGGGTCAGTACGAGGGATAGCCCGCGCTCCAGGGGGGGGGGATCTGGCGTGCAGGAGGGGGGGCGAGAGAAGAGGAGAGAGAAGAGAAAGAAGCGAGAGAGGAAGAGAAAGAAGCGAGAGAGAGGAAGAGAAAAAGAGAGGGAAATAAAAAAGAGAACGAAAAAGAGAACGAAAAAGAGAACGAAAAAGAGAACGAAAAAGAGAACGAAAAAGAGAGAGAGATAGAGAAAAGGCGCCAGGCAACGCAGAGCAAGCACGCACCACAGACGCAGCGCAAAGGAAAAGGTATTCATGGTGGCATCGCCCATCTCCGGGTCGGCGTCGGCCGACGCGGCCCCAATCCCAAACATGCCGGCGTGCATGGACACCGGCGGCGAGTAGCCGCCCACCTTGATCAGGAGCATCCAGAAGACGAACGTGCACGCGGCCAGGCCCAGGACCGCCGGCACAAAGATCCCGGCAATGCGATCGGCATACTGCTGGATCGGGGCCTTGGACATCTGGGCCTGGCCCACCAGCCGGGCAATCTGCGACAGGGCCGTGTCGTCCCCGGTGCGGGTGACCCGCATCAGCAGCGCGCCGGTCTGGTTGACCGTCCCGCCGATGACCCCGGACCCGGGGCGCTTGGTCACCGGGATGGCCTCGCCGGTGACCAGGGACTCATCCACATGCGACTGGCCCCAGACCACCTCGCCATCGGTGGGGACCCGCTCGCCCGGGGCCACACGCAGCACGTCCCCCACCTCCACCAGATCCAGGGCCAGGAGCTCCGCATCATCGACAGCCCCGGTGGCCGGGTCGAATTGCACCAGCGTCGCGGCCGACGGCTTCAGCGACAACAGGCGAATGAGCGCCTCGGAGGTCTTGCCCTTGGCCAGATTCTCCAAGTACCGGCCGAGCGTGACAAACGTGACCAACTACACGCCCGGGCACCGACGCGAGGGAGGGGCCGCCGGGCAAGGAGGGCCAGAAGAGGAAGTGAAGCGCCGGG